TATATATATATATATAGTATATATATATATTATATTATATATATATATATATATATATATATATATATAACATACACACACACACACACACACACACACACATACACACACACACACACACACATATATATATATCATGTATGGTTCTATAGGGAACATCAGGTATGAGTTTCCTCCGACGCGCAGATACTGTGCTTGATGCAGAAATTTTGAGTGAAGTGTGCTAAAAATAGATCGTGGCAGGCTGTGCTATATTTAGACCAGCTAAATACACACGAAATTTCTACAGTGGCTTTTCATCCATAGGATGGAAAACAACCAACCTCGTGCGATGTGTATTGAGTGCAAATCAATCCCTGTATAACTATGTCACTATAATTATGTCACTATGACTATGGCACTATGATTATGACACTATGGCTATGACACTATGGCTATGACACTGTGATATGGCACGCGTGTGGTCATCGTCGTATTCTATTTGTACTTCGGATTGTGTGTGACTGCGAGAGATAGACGCGCCAATAGCACGCGCATGTCTGCGGAGGTGGACTAGAAGGTCGACATGTCGATGTTCTCTCGTGCTAAGCTTTTGCGATCGCCTTCCATTGGTTGCTATACACTTGCGTATGGTGTTGGTATAGGCCCTGTGGCACGGGACACCATCTAGTGACACGAACTCATACCTCTGAGAAGGTTCACGTGCCTGGTCTTATTTCCTTAACTGACTGTTTAATGTTCTCATTTAAACATCCATATGCAATCTGTTTGTGACTTGTTCTGTTTAATAACTTCTGTGCCACTCACTACCCATTACTAAAGGTCAACCGGTACTTGACAGTGATCACCAAGAAGCTCCGCTTTGACCCAGACTTCAACCACGACAATGAGGGCGAGGACGAGATCTTCTTCCGGGAGCTGCGTAAAATCCTTCTGACCATGTTCGGCAACATTGCGCGTAAGTGCGGGTTCATTAGGGTGGTTGTATGCTATAAGCTCAAGTCATTAGGGTAGTTGTATGCTATAAGATCAAGTCATTAGGGTGGTTGTATGCAATAAGCTCAAGTCATTCGGGTGGTTGTATGCAATAAGCTCAAGTCATTCGGGTGGTTGTATGCTATAAGCTCAAGTGTGTCTCCACATAAGCACGCCAATTTGTCAATATGTAGTAAGTTCAAGTTACTCTCACACTCATCTACATCTGATCCTCCTAAATCCACCGCTGTTATGATTACCCACACGCACAGTGCGGTTACCAGTCGCAGTGATCCACCACGTATGCTCTGATGCGTGTTACTCTCACTCATCTTAATCTCATCCTCCTATATCCACCGCTGTTATGCCTACCCACTCGCGCAGTGCTGCTACCGGACACAGTGATCCACCACGTGTGCACAGGGGTCAATGCCATGCTGGTGACGCTGTCATCGTCACCGCACCTGATACAGTACGAGGATGTGGAGGTGGGGCTACTCCTGCTCTACTCTTTGTTGCCCAATATGGTAGCGAGTACTCCGGGGAGTGGCGAAGTGTATGGGTCTGATCCCCCGTCACACCCAGTGTTTGTGACTGTGTCTCAATTGGTATGGTTGGTGTCAATATATCGGATTGGATCTCGTTGTTCTCTGCCTGTCTGCATTTTACGTGGGAGTGTGTGTTTTGTACAGTCATTTTGGATGATTATGATGCGCGGATTTTACATATGAGTACATGCTACAGTGTACGTTTTTGTGTGTGCTTATATACGTATATATATTCATGGATGTGTGTATCTGTGTCTAAATCCATTCATGTTTCATCACATACGTGAAACTATTCGCTCCTGTGTGGTATGTCTAATTACATTTGCGAGCTCGTATGTCGTCCCTTGAGTGAGTATGACATTACGTTGGCATGTGCTGCCTTATACATACGTGTGTAATACACAAATAGATGTGTCCGTATCCTTGCATGATATCCACCGCAAGGAATGCTTGGTTATTCTCTGTGTAGTTTAAATCGCACGCATTGACGCCTAAGAGATGCTTATAGTAGTGATACACATACAAAGGGATTAATATACATTCTAAGGAACAAAACACGTCCTTAGTTGTACTAGGGAATTATGGTATTTCATGATATAACTCGCTACTAAGTCGTATATACATCCCCCCCCCCAAATCCCGGATGCAGATTATGTCGCCAGTCCACAAAATGGGACATAAAGCGGTATCACTGATGTACTTTGACTGCATCTCACGGTACCACAAAATATTAGAAATGAACAAAGACCTGATTCCTTACCTTTTCGAGGCCTTCTTCTCTGATTTTGGCATTGGGAATAGCAATGCACAGGTACAATCGCAGGTAAGTTTAGGTTTGGGTTGGGATATAAT